TCGTTACAATTGCAGATCCACTATTTATTTTCTTTATAAAAACACATGATCAGACATCGTCATTTTTATAACATTCATTTAACAAATATTTGTTAAGGTAATTATACCACATGCGTCCGGATTGTTTTAATTCATATAATGATTTTTGCAATTTAATGGAGAACATAGTTTTCGGGCATGTATCGTTTGTTTCTGATACCTCTAGTCCTTCAGGGACTTTCATAAATATGTCACTATTAAGTGAACCATACAAATATGCAATTACTATATTCATAAGGCGCATATCAAGCTTTTCTAACACAGTCAAACTAATTAAAAATTTAAAAGTGATAATGTCCATTACGGGAGAACATGTTTCCTCATAATCAATTCCTGGTCTTTGTGAGAAACCTTGAGCTACTAGTTGGGTTTTGTACCTTGTAATTTCATTATTTTCATTTCTCTTTCGTACAAAAACTCATTTGTATCCAATAGAGATTACATTTTCAAGTGCTCAAACGATAGGTCCAAACACTTTTCGTTTCTCCAAAGAATTCAATTCCACTTATATGGCTTCTTTCCATTTTGGTCAATCATTTCTATTTTGACAGTCTTTAGCTGACTGTGGTTCAAAATCCTCATTTTGCATAATATCAAGAGCCACATAAAGGCGAAAATATTGTCTATAAAAATATTATTTCGTTCCCATAATTTATGAGATAAATATATACTTTATTGAAATCTCATTATTTTCGAATGCTTGTGATTTTTCGGGAATCATATTTTCAATATTTGATTTATTAATCTTTTTTAATGTTACTTCTTCTGCAATTTTTAGTTGGTCTTTATTATGTATTTTTCTTTTTCAAAGTACAGAATCTTTTAAGCAAACTAGTAGGCTACACTTTTGACGCATTTGAGATTAATTTGTTATATTAGATTGTCTAGCAGAGACATTAGTTTTTGCTAAAATACTTCTGCTAACCAAAAATATTCAATATTATTTTCTTGCATCGTCTCAATATGATATCCATTGCAGCGGATATCTTTAAAACTAAGTAAATTTTTTTTGAATTTGCTAAAATAAAGTGCATCGTCAAATATAATTTTGTATTATTTGGTAAAATAATAAAAACTCTTTCGGGGCCTTCAACGATATTCAATGCACCTGATATTCTATTAACATTATTTTCTTTTAATGTTAAGTCCAATAAATTTTTTTGTCTTGAAGAATAGTATGTGTCGTTGCACTATCAATTAAGCAGGTATCTTGACAATCCATCATAAATCCATCAATATAACAAAATAAATATGTTTAAAAAAACTTGAATTTAAATTCAAAATGATAACATAATGAATATTGTGAAATTAACGATGCATAATAAAGTTCAAAAATTTTGCGAAAAGTTAAAACATATTTCAAACTAAATTTCTAAAATAAAAATCTAATCTATATCTTTCATCACACCACCCCTAATCAAATGGTCAATATTAACATTTAGATCAGCAAAGAAATCGGAGACATCTAAATGACTTGCATCAATTGACCATCACAGTAAGCAAAATTTGTCACCATTTTTCCCTTTCCCTTTATTGATTTTTGGTAGAGATCCACAAGGTGTTTTGCCGTACGACAAGTATGTGTCCAATGCCATTTCATTTAATATTTAAAGCAACTTTCTTCGTGTGCATTTTTCAATGTGCTAATTTCATTTGCTTGTGCCTTTTGAAATTATTATCGTATTGTTGAAAACTTTGTTGATTATTTCGTCCATGGTTTACTCCACGTGCACGTTCGCATCCACGTCCAAATCCATATATATGTCCACATCCACGTCTTTGTCATGATATTGCATTTGCTTAATGCAATGCAGTACCATTTGCTTCAGACAATGGTACAGAACCAGTTGAACATAATCCATGATTTTTTATCAGCAGTTCATTATTTTGTTCAGCAACAAATAGGCAAGATATAAGTTTTGAGTACTTTTTGAAACCACGCACGCAATATTGCTACTGCAGGAGCACATTCGAGACGTGAAAGGTGGAAAAAAATTCTCCAATATATCTTCATCAGTAATTTATTCTCCACACAATGTCAATTTTGAACATATTATGAACAATTCAGAATTGTACTCACTAACAGTTTTGAAGTCTTGCAAACGAAGATGCATCTACTCATAGCGGGCATTGGAGAGGACTATAGTCCTTTAATGATCAAATCTTTCAGTTAATTTTTTTTCAAAGAACTTGTGGATCTTTCTCAGTGAGATATTCAATTTCCAGTTCATCGTGAAGATGATGGCGAAAGAATATAAGTGCTTTTACATTATCTTGTAGGGATTCTTTGTTTCCTTCTTTTATTGTCTCTCCCGAGCCTTTTGAGACAAGATGGATATCAGCGTCAAGTACCCATGATCGATAGTTTTTGTTAGAGATGTCAAGTGCAGCAAACTCAAGTTTTGTAATGTTTGTCATTTGGTTAACTACACAGTAAAGTAAAAAAAGAAAATATAATTAATTTTGAAAAATATAATTAGACATCACATAATAGTTAATCATGATATACGTTGCGTGTTTTCCTTCAGCGATTAACATTAATTTAAAATAATATATTTTTCTAAATATGTGCTTCTTCGGGAGCATGTTGTACTTTACTATTGCTTTTTCAAGAGCAATATGTCAATATTCTTCTGGAACATTGAATATTTTAATCTATACTCTTCAGGAGCTAGTAATATTCTTCAGAAATATTAATTATAATGTTGTGCTATTTCATGAGCAAAATATAATAAACTATTAATTTAAAATTTATATAAGAACATCTAAAAATATTTAATAAAATTAAAAATATTAATTACTAAACGCAATGATTGTGACACAAGTTGATACAGATTGTAACACAACGTATATACAATGGTAGAATTAAAGACGTGAAATAAAGAGTGTAGACAAATGTATTACAATGGTATTATATGTAAAATAAATCGACATGCATTAACAAAAAGAACTCATTATCACAATAAAGTATTCAACTTTGACCAAACATTAATGAACTATGGAATAGCGTGTAAACTTTTACCCATAATTGATTTGCCAGACACATTATTTGGACAGCATTATACACACAAAAGATGGGTTTGGTGATACACAAAGTTATTTGGACAATTGAACAACATTATAAAAATGAATAATACTATTTGCAGTCGCTCACTGCGACAGTCGTCCTATGTGGCATACACATAGCAGGTGGTTATTTGATACATTAATGAATAAAAAAACTATCATATTAATGCATCAAATAATCACGTCATATGTATGCCACGTAGGACGACTACGAATAGCATTACTCTATAAAAATACACTTCGGAATTGATATAAAAATACACATTGGACAGCAATATAAAAGATAACGTGTTGTGGCGGAATTTCACGACGGCACTCAATTCGGAATTTGATGTAAAAATAAATTCTAGACAGTATTATAAAAGAATTAATTGTGGGAGCAGAATCGTGTGTAGACATTCATTAATTCAAACTCATTTTATTTTTTTATTTTTTATTTTTTGAAATTCATACCCACTAAAGGTAGAGAAACACAAATTCACACATAAATATGCACTGACAAAAAAAAAAAAAATAAATAAAAATTGGAAACATCGTTTGTGGAAAAGAAGTTTTCGAAAATTATGTATCAGACATGCATATTGATACTTGTGTAAGCATAAAAATAGGTAGTAATGCATGTGTGCGGCAAATAATGTGTTTGATATGAAATTGAATGTAAACTACCTTTAAATTAATTTGCTATAATTTTTAAAGAATCATGCTGATAACATTTTATGAAAGTGAACAAAATAGAAGGGAGCAGAGAGAAGTCAATAGACTAATGTGTATTTTATTAAGGACCAAAGCTCTGTATGTATAGGGCAGAATAAAAAATACAACAATAATAATTTCTATGGCTACAGACGTATAATTGTCATTCACCTCCGAACCCTAATAAACTTACATTTTACAACAAAAATCAAATTCTTTTGTTCCTTTCAAATATAATAAAGATTAAGCTCTCATTTAATAGCAATTTTTCATCTAAAAAAATCATTTTTTTAACATTATTTCACTATTTTAACATTCATTATTCATTTTTCAATTTTTTCATTATTATTTTACAATTCTAACTATCATTTTTCATTTATTCTCTTATAGGTAGAACTTACTTTTTCTTTAACAATCAAAAACCAATTCTCATAATTATTACCGAAAAAAGCTTTCATTTAGTGGGACTTTCGATTTTTTATTTTTTTTTTTTAAATTAAAAATATTTTACCACTAATTACATGTTGTATCTGCAGCCACTCTGTCTCGAAAAGTACACCCCAAGTGCATGTAAAAACACAAAAGACTTGATTAGACGAAGCTAACGATGAAGGCCCCAGAAGGGAAAATTTTATGCTAGAATTGTTGGGCTTTACCCAGAAGGGAGCCCATCCAAAAATTCTCGACGGCCCTGGTTCGAAGGCCCCAGAAGGGAAAATTTTATGCTAGAATTGTTGGGCTTTACCCAGAAGGGAGCCCATCCAAAAATTCTCGACGGCCCTGGGCGAACCAGGGCCGAAGAGGGGGTTTGGAAATAGTTTTCAACCAGCAATAGACGCGCCTCGGTTAGAACCTCACTAGCTGCGTCATTGCCCCAAGCGCAAAGATAATCTTCAGTCCTCCATGTCCCTCCTCTTTATAACCTAAATTTCTCACCCAGTTTGAATGGAACATCGATGTGGGACAAAATGCAACTCATTTCCACACCCTAGTTACCTCTTAAGAGTCTCATGTGGGCCCTCCCTCTTAACGTTAATCAAATCTTAGTAAATTTAATATAGGTAAAGCCTAGAATCGTGTTCTAATAATTTCACCAAAAAGAGAAAAAGGAGTATACTGCCTAGCAAATCAAAAGGTTCAACTCAACATGTAGAAAAGCCAGCAGGAACAAATTCAACAAAGTAAGATATGTGAAAATAGTATGACAATTAAATAATTGTTTTCTTTTCAAAATTATCAGACATTTTCGTAGCATAATCACTGAAGAAAACCATCCCATTTTCAGATTCACACAGCAACTTACAAACAATCAAAACCTGGCTTTGCCTTGATAAGTAATCTCATGTATGGACAGACAGACAATGAACACTGTAAACAATACAATGCAAGACACTCTCTCATTAAAACTCTCCCCAGCCAGCCAAAGAACGATTAAAGGGTGGCCATGAAATAGACTCAGCCAATTAACGTCGGCATTGTATAGACTGAAGTGTATCTAACAGAAAGACGAAATGTCTAAATCAGGATTCTCCATATAATGCAGGCATAACTTACGTGGTGAAAAAGAACGACTATTGACCATCACCAATGATGTTATCTGGTCAAAAGCATGATCACGAGTTCTTGTCAACTTTCAGCGGCTACTTGTCATTCCTGTCAATTCAGCCAGCATAAGGAGGATCGGTGAATGCCCATTCAAAAACTTGCTCGTATTGAATTGCTGCTCTATCCCAAGAAGACTCTCTCTCCATTCCTCGTTTCACCAATCCTTCCCAAGAAGAATTGTGTTCTATGTAAGTCCCGATAGCTAATTTTAGTGCCTGCAAACATTCATAAGCAGTGATTTTGCAAGAAATCAGTTATTCAATAACTCTAAAAGATTATTCTATGCAAAAGAGCATGTGACAACTAACAGATCTATCAGCTCAGCACACTGCACCATTAGCTTAATAGGATTATCATCTGAAAGGGCTCGGAGGAAGATGGCCATCCACTTTGTGGATGAGTAAAAATTATTTTGACGCAGCAAATTATCTTTTCATCACTTAACTTCCAGTTCACAGAGGCCTTGTTTTGTTGTTTGGGAGCCGCATGTTTTAATTAGATTCCAATTTTGACGCCTTTTGAAGAATTGTGGGTTGAGAATCCATTCAAAAATATAAATGACACTAAACAACTGTAAGAATCTGAACAGGTATGCCAGCCAGGCCATTATAGTTGCACATCCATAGATTAAATCTTCTATTTTAACTACTTTCTCTTCATCCCCCATTTTGGGTTTGAATAAAGGTTTTGTATAATTGGAGAAAAAACTTAGTTATGTAGCCAACCAATCAGAGAATTTAGCCTGCACTCAGATAATATCATGGTTAAATGAATATGAGGACATAAGGAGCAAAGCACATAAATGCACAAGCTATCAATCCATGTCATTATTTAACAAGATAAATGCATGATAAAAGAACTTACTGCAATCAAATTCTCTCTTGATAGAGGAGAAAATGTCCACCTGTTGGGCGGTGCAAGATAACAGAATTAGCTCATATAGATGTACAAGCATAGCAAGGAAAAAAATGACAGAAGCATTAGACCATTCTGTTTCTCTACAGGCGAAAAAAAGTTGATTGCCCCCTTTCAGAAACACAATGAACATTTTAATCCATTTTTAAGAGCCTATTTGAGCAGGAATGAGATGTACAAGAATTACATTATATACAGTCACCAACAGCCCCCACAGGACCTGTAATTATCTTATATGCTTAAGTTGCTTCATTTTACAACATAGATTAACTCAACATCAGCATAATAAAGAATCAAGAATGATAAACAAGTTCAATCCCCAATGCCGCCACAGCCTTTCAGGTTTTACATGTTACTTATACTCAATTAAAATCGATGCAATACTGATCATGCCGTTTATCATCAACTAGTATTGAGATCCAGTATAAAACTAGGTGGAGGAGAATGTTATATGTGTTTGATAATTGATGGAATATCACTACGTGATACAATGTTGTGAGCTTCCAAGATTTAGCAAGGAATGCATGTCAACACTATGATGAATTATCAGCAGGAAATGCTCAAGGAGATATGCGTACCCTGTGCCTTCCCCACTGGGTTCCTCAGCATATGGATTGAAATGTTTTACAGTGTCCTGACCCATTGTAGACCATGTATTAGTACATCATTGTATGTATCCAGATCTAGTTAAGTGAACTCACTCTAAGCCCCCCGGTGCTGTGGACAACGGGAATGGTGCCATATCTCATTGCATACAACTGGTTTAGACCGCATGGTTCAAATCGTGAAGGCATCGTTAATATATCACAGCTGCAAAATTATTTGCATCAATAAGCCGTTGCTGTTAAAAGTAACTGGAACAATTGAGATCCAGGGTTTAAATATTTAGTTACCCTGCTGTTATCCTATGAGAAACGGGAACATTAAACCCAACCCAACCCCGAAATTTTTCTCTGTAAACTGACTCCAGGTTTCGCATCCAGTCTTCATACTGTTTCTCCCCAGATCCAAGCATTATCTGACAGAGAAACGTAATCATAATCCAGTTAAATGTTGGGTAGGGTTGTGGGGGTGGAACCACATAGAACTCCCACAAGAAAACTCCATAAAATACTACTTATATAGCACTGTAGGAGACACACAGTCATACACACACAATAAATAGGCAAAGAAAAGGATAAGAAGACTTACAAATTGGACATCTTCTTGCATAAGTTCTGGAATTGCTGAAAGAATAATGTCTACACCTTTCTGGTAGTCCAGTCTCCCAATAAACCCAATCTGAAAATGCCATACTTTTACCAGAATTCCAGAAGAAATTGAAGATATACAATTTGATTAAAGCAAAATCTGTATACAGTCTCACCAAAGGGCATTCTGGTCGTATTGGTAGACCCAATTCCTTTTGCAATGCAATCTTGCACTGAACCTGTACCGATGAGCAGCTATAAGTAAATAACTTGCAACTAGATGTTCAGATAACTGAAGTTGAATTTATGGATCCATTTTTCCCATTTTCTTTCCAGGATATTTAGTCAGTTGTTATGAACCTATAATATCATAAAATTCAGATGCAAAGCAGGTAGTTACAAGCAAGTGAACTTGCAGACTAATACTTAGGAACATGCAATTGTCTACCTTCCCTGAAAGGTCATTGACAGAGTAGTGCGAAGCAATGTGCTCATCCGAAGATGGGTTCCATTCATTGATATCAATTCCATTGGTGATTCCTGCATAATCAGGTATGTGTTTGAGTTGAGAACATAATACAGGCTTTCTATGATGTACAGGAGTACTAACAGCACTCTTATGCTCTAAATTATGATACTCCAATATATTTCAGATCCAGATTATAGACAGTAGTCATACCATTAAGAACTGCCTTTCGACTGCTCAACAGCTCATGTAAACCGTATCCACCTTCAGGAGTCGTTATTTCCGAAGAATAACCCTGCCATCAGAAAGGGAAATAAGCAAATGAACATGTGCCAATTAATTGCAGTATGAAGTGTATATATATATATTCCACTGATAATTTTGTGAATCCATGTTATCTGCAGAATATTTTCCTCATTTCCACTTTTTGTCATTCGTCCTTTTTGGGTTGTTAATGCAGATGATTCCCATCCATTCACGTGTTGGATGGGACATCAGCAGCAGATGACAACATGAGATTTGATGAGTAATAGAGATGAACAGAAAATAAATTAATTAATTTGGCACGTGAAGCATGCTTGGAAAGTGATTAAAAACAATTTATTACAAATAGATAAAAATGATTGGTGGATAAGTAGGTAGTACTCGTGGGTCGTGTGTGGATAAAATGTGATTTGAGTGTTTATAAATATAAGCCAAACATAGGCTTAATTGCACAGCCACAGCACCACCACCACCAACCCACCTGTCCCCCCAAAAAAATTTAATAAATAAATAAACATTTTGAAAGGCATCCAACAACCTCCGAATTGAATAGCTAATTATCCTTTAAGGTAACCAGATAAATCCTTATATCTCCATACAATTAAACATACAAGCTGATACAATTAAACATACTAGCTGATCACAAAATATATGTAAAAAAGTACCTGGCTAACTGTCAGTATCCTGTCTGCGGTAACAATTGCACCTTTCAAAACATTAACTGCTTCACCAGTATCAAGAGCATGTGTCCTTGCCCACGTGGGAAATACCCACTCCAGTGCCTTGTACCACTCAGGAGGCAATCCCAAATACTCGTATGTTGCTGCAGCTTCCACTCCCTTACGACAAAAAGGCACCATAAAGCACTACTCAGTGTCTTCAGAAAATCAAAATCTATATGTTATCGTGAGTGCGACGTAATGATGAGCAAACTTGAAGAGGCTTTGCATATAGGCTATAAAGTATTATGTCCATCATTAGAAAGCAAGAAACACTAATTTGAGCCATACGGACACATGCCTGACTTTAAGTTGAGGAAAATGTGATATTCAATGAATAATGTTACTTGTACATAAGCAATTACATAATAGTTTACATATAGATGAGATGATAAAAGGAGATTGGAAAAGATTTTTTTTTTTTTTTTTAAAAAAAATTCTGACTCAATCATATCTCACTACCATCATGTATATATAAACCATTGTGCAAACCTATTACATGTAACACAAGTGATATATTGATTATCTAAAGGGGCCTATAGAGTTGGTGGTTACAAAAGCCAAACAGTAAGAAAGGTCCTACAGTTACCATTTCTAGCAGGTTTTTTATAATCCAATATTGATATTAGCACATTGCACCTTTTCCAACACAATGACCCCAAATAAAATGAAGAAAAAAACATGAAAAATCTACCTGATGTGCAAGATTATGTATTACGAGAATACTTCGAGCATCCTTATAAACGCCATATGGACGATACTTGGCTGCCAAGAGTCTGAAATTATGGAACAGGTTCACAATCATACCAACATGACAAAACAATAAATAGCATGGTAAAATGTGTGATGGTTAAAAGGCCTAAGATTTTTCCATCACGTTGCTGTCATTAGGTCTAAACATAGGGACCTAATAGCCGTCAACATAAAGAAGATACTAATACGCTAGATAGTGAGTGTAACTCAAATAAACCAGAATATGCAGTTAATGGAAAAGGATAAATTGCCCTGAGAGGAAAAGGAATAGATCAATTTGCTGATGAGATGACCTTGCATCCAGCTATAATATTAAAACGACAAACCAAAACATGTCGACGATTTCAAGCTTTAACAGGTGAATAATGTCTCACCAAACTATAGAATGAGTAATTCCCTTAAAAATGTGCAGATGAAGCGGGTGGAAGGAGAATTAAGATTGCATGACTAATACCATGTAATAATCAAGTTCAATAGTGCATGCATTGCATCATGAGTGCAAGGAATTACATCTAAGGTGAGCATTGTGACTGAGAATAAAATCTTGAAATAGTTGCCCATTGAAGCACGTGCTTTAGACTGGCTATGACTGACGAAAGAGAACTAATTATTTACGAAGCTGGAGCAGTTTATAATATGAAAGAATTTATTTCACATACACTGGAACTAGGGCAGCATGCCAATCATTTGCAAGAAAGACACACTTTTCTCCATAAGTGAACCCTCCCAATGGAAGCACTAGGGGAGCTTCACAGGCTGCATGACAAAGCAAGTTGAACCGAAACTGTTCAACCAATAAAAGATCAGCATGCACCAATATAAACTCATGACATGCCAATTTCCTCCTCAAGCTCAACTCAAAAATAATGTGTGTGAAGCATATACCTGATTATCACCAAAAGCACCAAAAATATCACCATATGGAGTTCCGGGGCGATGGTATGAAGGGTGGTCAACAAAGACCTAACAGTAGAAGAAATAACTAAAGGGGCAGAGAAAAAGAAAGTGACAACAAAATTAAGGAAAACAAGATATCTTTATTAAGTATTTAGCAACATCTTGGCCAGAAAGAATCTTACCCAATCAACACCTGCCCTGTATTCATGGAAGAACGTAACCTCATGCACACCACCAAAGCAGTAAATCTTACTCCGCTGATCAACTTCGACAGCATTGGCAAACTTCTTGTCTGATGGTCCTCCATCCAAATATCTAGGGGAGACAACCATTACACGGTGTCCTCGTGTAGCCAGTGCCACAGGTAAAGAGCCACAGACATCTCCCAAGCCTCCTGTCTTGGAATATGGAGCTGCTTCAGAAGTAACAAAAACAACACTGTAGGTTACCTTGGTTGAGGCTTCCTCTCCTCTTTCGATGTCTTCAGACAACTCCTCCTTTCCAATAGCTATATTATCCTGTGTTTCCATGACATCTTCACCAGTAGCGAAAGTTGGATATAATTCTCATTAGAAGTTAAACTGAGACATTTTTGTAGAGAAGAATACGTACAAGTTAATAAAATCACGTGATGATTGAATACTCAACCTTACAACCCCATCTAGGTTCACATTTCCAGTTAAATAATCATTCACTTATGATTTTCCAGTCATTGTTTCTTTCCCATTTGTTCAGTAAAATAAATTAATAGGGAAAGTGGTGGAAGGCTTTAAGACACTTTCAGCTCTCAAAATCAATTGAACTTGATTCTTTTCGGCTCAAGAAAACTAGCTACTGCAGTTCATCAGTAATACATAGTGCTTCAGAAGGCTCAAAGTATCAGCAGCTCTTTGACATATTATGTATTCGTAATCCTAATCATCATTACTAATGCATCACATCTTGTGCGACATTTACAATTATATACCCTCCAGATCATATTGTGGAATCAAATTCTCATCATGTGCACAGCTGATTGAATTGTTAATTTTGTATGGAATTCCTTAAGCCTAAGCTTAGTAGCAAACTGACATCCTTTTCATTGTAGATGCTTCATGTATATGATTGCAATATACAGTTATTGTAAACAGCAATTTAGACAGTAGTTTGGATTTTATGCATTATAACGTTCATATCATTCCAGGTGCAAATGGAGCGCGTGAACCAGGGAAACCTTAACAAAAGGATCAATTCAAATGTCAAATCTCACTGCCCAGACCAGACTACACAAGTGAGCATTATACATGAAAAAACGAGTAGCCAACCGATTAATAAAGTAGATAGTGATTCTCGGAATAGTGGTTAGTAATCACTTCTACCAACCAAGTGAACTTAAAGGATATTGCAGAATGGAAATGGAAAAATTTGAAGAAAAGCCAACATATAAAAAGTCCCAATGAGTCCCAATAATCCCAAATATTTCATTGTTGCTTAGCTATTAATTTACTTGTGATAAGTAAACAGCCCACATTACACAAAAGTACAAAATTTTGTGCTAAACATAACAATTTACTCAACAAATCACTTTTTCCAGAAAATGTAATCGTTTCCTTAAATGGGATATTTCTCAGTCCCTGCCTGCCACCCACATTGCAATCTTATCCGCTCAACACTCGCAAAATCTAATTCGCCTATCATCGTCATATACCCCTTACAAATCAACAATAAAATAAAGCAAGAAGAAAATGAAAAGTGAAAACAAAATTAACTACAAACTTTACCAGAGTGAGGAATCAGCTGAAACCCAATAACAGAGCCAGAATTATCCCTCTCAGTCCCCAATAGAAGACCTTTTCTTTGCTCCTCGTCTTCAGAATTTCTACCACTTGTAATGGAATCCTCGCCATTGCGTTCCTCTGTATATGATCTTCTTTTCACTACTAAAGACTGACTTCCTTTGCTTATTTTCCTATTTCTGTACAAATACCCGAAACCCACCTGCCCAACTGCACTACACCACCTGATAACGGAGATTTCTGTTGGTTCGCGGCATAGAAATCTCGATGGAGTTTTTAGAGTCCCCATACAGAGAAACCTCGTTTAGAAGCAAGGGATCGTGACTAACTATAAGAGAAAGAAGTAGAATAACACTGGGATCTGCTTTAAGCGCGAAAGACGAGAAAGTGTAGACAAAACGGTGCCATAATAACAGGTAACTAATTAGGAGTTGACACGTGGTGTGAAGCAGTGATGAGACACGTGGCAGATTGTTTACGAAGGCCGCAAAGTAATTTGGGCGGTGAGAAACTCTTGCATTCTAGTCCACAACGTAGTGCCATAATATCTCACCCGTACGATTCTCACATCTTAAAGGTTTTATGACTATCGAGTCTCTATTATCCTTTTTAAAATCTCAATACATTAAAATTTTTATAAAATAATAATGTTGTGGTCCCAAAAAATTTTATTTTAAAGAAGTCACTAATTTTCAACAAATTAGTAATTTATTGATTTATTTATAGATTACTTGAAGTAATTATTTCTAGCATCCGATATTTTCAACTAGAGATGAATCATATTTTATTGTTTGGATGATAGAAAAATCGTATGGATTAAAATTAGATTTTTAGTATATTTTGATAAAAGTTTATTAAATGAGTGATTAAAAAATTGGGAGATCCATAAAATGTATGGTTAAAATTAATTATTGACGTTGATGATAGACTAATTAATTTTCATTTGTTCTTAATAAATTTATCTTATTTTTATACTCAAAGTTGGCAAGAGACGCGTTAAATTTAGAAGTTTTTGTGTCATTGGATATAATATGACACCTATAAATGATGCATTTAAAAAATAGGTAGGTGTGATGATCGAGGGAAATCCACAAGTATACAGGATCATTAATAACTAATAGGTGATAAATAACGTGTATCGTCTTACAATGAATAAATTTCAGTTTAAGTATACTAGTTTTGTATTGAATTCGAAATATATATAGCACATAAGAGATTATGATTTGGAATTATTCTAAAAATCATGTAAAAAGTATTTACTTTTATCAAATTATGGATAACTGTATTGAATTTCAAATTCATCTATTACTGTCTACTTCAATTCTTGATTATGTAATCCAGTCTTATCCATGCATTATTGACAATCATACAGCTATGATATATGATTTTCTTTTTCAAGATAAATTAAATTTTTTCTAATACGATATGATCATATTCCTATTCTAAATTCGAATGCTTAGAATATATTAATCCCCTGTTTGAGCCTTATTTTTACCTCATTAAAATGAAAAATATGACCGTTATCCATCACATCAAGTCACCATTTTTGAATTTTTATCTCTGGTGTGGATCCATAACGACTCTATTTCTCATTCTCATTCTCATTCTCATTCTCATTCTCATTATAATATGGTTCAAACGAGCTCTAAATTTCAAATTATTTATCTAATTGTGTGTGCGATATTGGTATTTTCAACATCTATTGTTCGTGTGTTAATCTTGCCGCATTCTAAATTTAATGTGAGTTTTTCAGTACTACAACATGCAACTAATTATCTAATTGTTAGCTACACAATAAAATAATGCAAGATTAATCAAGAAACATAAAAACTAATTAAACTACTAGTCTCGAATTAAAACAAGTCCTTGTTTTAGACCCATTATCGAAGAATTCACTTTTCTAATAACTTATTTTCGGCCATAAATTCTTCCAACAAAATATTTTGCACGTAAATTCAAAAATTTTAAATACTGTTTCACTATATATTCTCCAAAGACAACTATTACAAAGTTCATTTTAACATAAAAATGGGGCTCAAATAAGCACAAAATAAACAATAAGGTTAATCTCATCCAATACAAAAAGGATTTAGCATAACATGATTTTATATAAATTACAAGAAAAATTATAAAAAACCGTCCCCCGTATCATGAAAAAACATAAAAGATATTGATCTTCAATTCCAAGATTGAATTTTTCAATTTCTCGATATAATTGATCTTCAAGTCTTACTAGAGTTTGATATTCTCTTCCAAGGGTAATTAATTGACCTCTTGTTCATAATAAATTTAATGATATGAATGCGTCTTAAGAGGCTCGAGAGATCCCCCAATGTTTGGAACAATTTTTTTTTTTTTTTAATTCAAAATATTCAAAAATTGCGTCCCAATATCAGTCAAAACATAATTTTAATTAAAATCAGATTTTGCTGCCTTTCCCTTGATTAGTTGATTTCTCGTGTGCACGTATACGGTAGTCCTCGACGCGAGCTCTCAGATTATTTTGAGGTAAGTCGGCTTAGATTAATACTATAATAACCTGTAAAACTACTCAAGCTCAATCGTTTATCCTTTTAGCCGATCTTTAACGACGAATTTGAGGCGAGCTTGGGCAGTTAGTTAAATTTTAGCATGTAACAGATTTTATCTAAACTTGTTCAAACTTGTTTAGAAAAAAAATTGTTACCTCAGAGAAGTTATGTTCAAACTTGGCTCATTACGATTCTTCGGCCAATTATGAGTTGATCTCGAGGATTGTCAAGGAAATATTGAAGCTTCATAGGTTTTTTCGTTCAGGTGCAGGTAGTTTGCATCTTTACATACATGTCTATTTCACCGAACCCCTCTTCAATACAATGCTCAAAACGTTGTCTTTCACGCAAGTCGAAATTTCCATGACAAGGAATTTTGCTATCCTTTCTGCATTGCTGATATATAGCTCCCCAAATTCCACATTCAGGCATGTTTGAGTTCCATTATTTCCTCATTAAAATGAAAAATATGTTCGTTATTTATCACATCAGGTCACCATATTTAATTTTTTTATCTTTTGTGTGGGACCATAATATCTATATTTTTCATTCTCATTTTTACAATAATATGGTTCAAACGGGGGCTCAGTGTGAAAATTTTGCTTCTTTGATAAGCTATATGGAATTTTATATGACTTTGTAATGTGTGAATCTGTTTGGCTCGTTAAACTGTATAAGATTATTACCGATTATCATGTAGTATGAAGTGTCATGCTTTTATCCTATATTTCATTAATGCCCACCTATTTGCTTTAATATTTTGACATTTGGAAACAATCAAATGGTACCGTATACTCTAATTCTACAGAAAGATTTAAGCCCTTTGATTAATTTGTAAATTGGTAATAGACTAACTATTCAAAAAAAGCTATATTTGCACGTGTTTGATGGTCATTATTTGTTCAAAATAATGTTTTGAATGGTGAATTTTTTGAGATGGTCTAGTTAAAACGTAGGAAAAGATTTTGAATTTACGTACAGAATAATTTATTGTGTGAATGTATAGTTGAAAATAAATATATAAAATAAAGATTTTTGAAATAATAGTTGTCAAACATGGGCTTAATGTGTATAAATTAACTACTGTTTAAAAATATAATCCCCTAATTGCAAATTGATTACAATATTGTTTAATATTTATATTTAGACCCCGTTTGATAATCATTATTTGACAAAAATAAAATTTTGAATAGTGAATTTATGGTTAAAATGTAAAAAAATATTTTGAATTTACGTGCAGAATATTTTATGGTATGAATGTGTAATTGAAAATGAGTATATAAAAAAATAATAATAATAATTTTGGAAAGGGCTAAATCATATTTGTACAGGAAAAGAACTAAATAGGAAAAAGAAAGGAAGTGTTATAGTACAATGTAAAAGACAAAATGAAGAAAATAACGAAAAGAAAGGTTCCACCGAGATTTGAACTCGGGTTACTGGATTCAGAGTCCAATGTCCTGACCACTAGACCATGGAACCAATTTGCTGGTGACTTCCACAACAACTTTAGGTATATATTATCGTATCGTAAAAGCTTCAGATAAAATTAGTTTGACCCGATTTTAAATGATTATAAAAAGTGGTTTCTAAACATCTAAGGCCCTGTTTGGCACCCATTTTTATCAAAATGCATTTTTCTCTCTCTTCTTTTTAACCACATATTCTTTATTAAAATAATATTATACGCAAATCAAAAACTTTTTCTTATTTTTCAACCACACATTTCCCATCAATTTACTATTCAAAAATGCATTTTCACATAAAAATTCCTACCAAACACCCTCTAAGGTAGTGGTTGGTTTTCATTTTCATTTTCAAAACAATTTTTAGTTTTTCGCGTTTTGGCAATTTATAACTGAAAACGCTTAAAATGATAAAAAGTCGTTTTGCGTTTTCAGTTATAAATTTTAACCCATTTTCAAAAATGCGTTTTTGAAAACGACGGACCAAACGCATTTTCAAAAACGGAAAATGGAAAATGGCCCGAAAACGGCAAACCAACCGCACCCTCAAATTCTTAGGTTTGGTTCGGTACTTCTATAAATTTTAAGGGAATCGACTTTAGGTTTGCCTAAGAAAGAATAAGTTAGATATTTGGTGAAATTTTTGTTTTAGAATTGTTACATTCTTTTTTGGTGTACTCAAGAAAGAATGAGTTATCTATTTGGTGAAATTTTTTGTTTTAGAATTGTTACATTCTTCAAAATTAGGATTTCAACACAAAGTGCTTTATAACACGTATACATTTATTAAGATGGAGATTGATTTTTAATGATATTCTTATTACCTGTTTGGCCCCCTCTCTTTTATGTTTTTTCTCAATCTTATTTTCAATCACACAATCTTTCATAAAATAATATTACACATCGAAAACTTTTCGTTCTTTTTCAACTACACATTCTTCAAAAAACTATTCCAAACATTAAAATTTGGAAAATATGAGGGCCAAACGAGGGCAAAATAGGAAAAATTATGAATCCACCTACAAAATGATTTTATTGGGAGAATGAGTGATTTGAAAATGAGTTGGAAAAAACTCTCTACTGAACAAGACATTAAATTTATTTTAAAAATTTTGATATTTACGAAAACTCAAAAGTGTATAAAATTTAAGGGGAGTTTGATTCTCATTTTTTCTAAAATATATTTTTCCCTCTCTTCTTTTCAACCACATATTCTTCATTAAAATAATATTACACGTAAATAAAAAATTTTTTTTTAACCACATATTTTTCATTAATCTATTGTTCCAAAATATATTATTCAAAAAGAATGAAGCTCAAACACACCCTTAAAAATACAATAATAGCCTATACAATATAACATAATTCAAATAGATGTAGAATACTGACACAC